AAGGGGAGGAAGAAGCGGGAGGGGAGGAAAAAAATGAGACATACGTGGCTGCATGCAGGACGCTGAGTCTTCCACCTCCTCCTCCCCTTCCTTCTCCATTCTAGCTGCTCATCTCTACGAGTACACGCTCCTCCTTCCTCCTCCTTCCTCTCCCTCCTCCTCCTCCTCCCCCTCCTCCTCCTCCTCCTCCTCCTCCTGCCTCCTCGCCCACTCCCGCCTCATCCCCGCCTCCCACGACCCGCGACTGTGGGAGTTCCCACAAATCAACCAGAAAAAGGCGGGAAGGAAGAGCAGGTTTATGTTTGCGACCGTCTTCAATCAGCACGGGGAGGGAGAGGGCTTCGTGAAGGTAGATTTGGAGGGAGAGAGGGGAGAAGGAGGGGCGCCCTACGCAGAAGTCAAGTATGAGGAAGGGACCTTCGGCGGGGAAGTCATCTTTGTGCCACGGGAGGGAGAGAGGGAGGGCGGTGGAGAAAGGGAGGAGGACGACGGCTATCTGCTTACCTTCACCCATTCGTATCCGAGAAACGTGAGTGAATTTCGGGTCTATGATGCGAGGAGGATGGAGGGAGGGGGGGAGGAAGGGAAGGAGGGAGAGAGGGAGGCGTTGGTGGCCTCGGTGGCGCTGCCTCGACGGGTCCCATGGGGCTTTCACGCCCTCTGGGTGGAGCAAAACGAGCTCGAGAATCAACGCGACAGAGTCGTGTTAAGGAAAGGGAAGGTCGTGGAGGAGGGAGGAGGGGCGGCAAGGAAGGCGAAGGAGGAACTCTGATGCAAAGGAGGAAAAGCGAGGGGGCGTGGATCGTCGAGCGAGGACAAAGGATGGAAGGAGGGGGAGAGTGGAGGCTGAAGGGAGGGGGAGAATCAGAAGAAGGGAGTGGGGAAGAGGTAGGAGGGAGGAGAGAGGGAGAGAGGGAGGGAGGGAGGGAGGGAGGGAGGGAAGGAGGTTGCCAGGATGAGGCGTGCTCCTGCGAGGGCACTATAGCGTGGTTCCATGCATCGTCTTGATCTTTGACACTTGCACACACGTACATACATGAAAAAGGAAGAAAAGATATTCACCAAAAAGGGACGACAATAAACAAGAATGTGAAGCCTCTTGTCTGATTCGTGTGAATGTTGGATGGAATTTGTCATGCCTGTGCTCGCAAAATGATACATTGTGCGCCCTTCTCACAGAAAAAATTTCGTCGGACGATCCGTCCGGGCCTCCGCTATGCTCCCCTTTCCCTCTTCCCTCGGATCTACGCGACCTTCGCTTCCCTCTTTTCCTCCTTTACCTCGTGTCTCGGTACTTTCCCTTGCCAAGCCCACTTTCCTCCAACCCCCCACACTATGTACTCCACCCCCTTGCCCTTAAATGGCCTTTCCCTCCCCCTCCC